GCATCCTATAGTAGTAGTAAAACTTTCTAGTTGATAATTATTTGTTAATTGACAATCACATTGTGTCGTGTTAATTCATTTATGATAACAAATACTTATGTCCGTTACAAAATGACGTTTAGATCCTTCTACGTTGGTCAGATCCTATCTATGCCAGTAAAGAAGTCCATTCATTCATATTGAAACAATGTTAGAAATGGAACGCGCAAAAGTAACGAATGAGAAGCTATAAAAGGGCTGCGACAAAACTTCGTTTCGGCATTTTTGATATGCACAGCAATTCGCCATACGCGCGGAGGACGCAGGAAGTAAAAAAAACGGGAGTCGCCGACAAAAATCCGACGGCGTACAATGTGTATCGGTTAGCGATCCCTCTGTTGGGTCGATGGGGAGCGATCCTCGTTAAAACCAAGGAACAGAACTTTCTGTCAGACATTTGCCAATTGCTGTAGGCTAGAATCACTTTCGAAATTAGTTTCGATGGCGCCTGCGTCTTTTCTCACACTGGGCAACATTTGCCGATGACACTTTTAGTGATGGCGATTTTTTTCAAGACATATGCCTTTAACTATTAGACGTGAAGAGTAGAAAAATATGGTTGGGAGGAGTTAGGTCTGAGCTTCCCAAAAGTATTACTAGAGTACATAGGTGTTGTCCAACTCACAAGTCAGAGGATCATACAGCGTTGGAGATTCGTTAGGGTTTTCCAAAATGAGATGAGAGTTTTTACGCTCCGAAAAAGGTAATTTTCTTCCAACAAAGTTTGTGACTAAGAAGCGTTTCAGAAAAAAATTCCTTCTTCCTAAACCGCCCTGATTTGTGTGAAGTTATCCTGGGTTTATGCAGATAAATAATGAGTTGGCGAATGGACTGGGGAAATTTCAAGCTGCATGTGGACGTACTCGAACTTATTTCGGCATATAAATACTGGTGATTTATCACTTTGCTTTTTGTAGTGTTTTTTTTACACGACATCGGGTCTACTCTACAAGCAGGTTTAAGTTAGAAGGGCTCATGGGGACACTTACACCTTTGCGCTGTCCTGTACAGACTGTCCCCCCTTCCTCCTTTCAGCGGTCAAATACGATCCCTGGCATCCCCATCGATGCTCTGCCGTGCTAGTAATTCTGTAGTAGCGCCAACTAGGTTGAGTATATAGTATTTATGAGAAGTCAAGTAAAGCTTTTGCGGTTGGAAATTTGCCAATTTTTTCCGTTTTTTTACCTTGTATATTCTCAAAAAATTTCCAAGCCAGGTTCCGACCCCTCTTTACCAGCGACAAGCATAACGCACGGCTGATGGAATTCTCTCAGTCATGCTATAAACCTTCCTATCTCCTGGCAGAACTATCTAAAAGATTTAGGGGTAATTCACAGCAGTAATGAGACCGAAAGGACCATGTGATCCACTTTTGAGCGTATCGGTTTGAACGGTTTAAGGAGTGATTCTTCATCAAAATTATTTATTTGAGAGATGAAAAAAACATAAACAATGTATATGAAATATGTGATACGGATGAGAATCGACGAATAAAAAACGCGTACATGGCGGAACGAATCATACGGCGAATGTTATATCGATGTGTTCACGCCTACGTAAATCCACCTACACAGGAACCTGACACCTAACTTGTAACCATATAGGTAGAGTTATTACAAAGAGATCTACGCGTGATATGATAGGAAATCTTTCCCCCTTGAAGACTAATGAGACACAGAAATTGAGATTTATGAAGTATGGGAAATTCGAAATAAAGGACCACACACAATCGCGATGGATCATTTACGATCAAAAGGCAAATGATTCGTGTATATAATTCCAAGAAAGTATATTGATTTTGGTGCAAATGGTAATCGATCGATCAACTAACGGATCGATAGCTATAACTATGATACTTCTTATAATAATTTGACTAGTCTAAAGATTTGTATAATATGAACCGCTCAGCCCTCAAGAGGTACAGAGTCACCAGAAGATTATGGTTGTCATCAGTTAAATGATATGAGACGCCACTGGATGTGACACTGGGTACGCTGGCGCGCAATGTCAGCCATTTTGTGGCAGAAGTGAAAAATGTCAGTAATTGACTTGCATACGTCAGTCAAGAAGCAGCGTACATTTACGGGCCTATCATTCTGTGTACAGCGAGCGCATCGCTCACTTGATTGTCACCATTCATGTAGATCATACGTACCGCATCGTATCTGGAAATAGAACTTTAGTTGAGGATTTAGTAGCGTAAGGTTTATCACGGGCGATGTTAGTCCAGTACAGGTTACAGGTTACAATTCAACAAATTACAGCCTATTTCGTGTGCGATGCTGGGCGTGACGCTAAGGGCTGCGTCTGACGGCGGCGCCGACGTTCGCCATTAGTTGTCGAGGCGAATAGCGACAACGAATTGCGGTGATAGATCTAAACGGACAACTAAGACTCAATCCTTCAATGGCGCCATCTTACTGTTCTTCTCTGCGCTCTCTTTCCTGAATGGCGATTTATGGCCACTTTGACCTTTCGCATTCCATTTTTCACGCATACTAAGTGTCATCGCACCCGTGTCCCCCCCCCCCGCTTGGAAAAAAAAAAAAACTTTTTTCCAATCTCTCCTGGCTTGTTCGTGGTTTTTGGATATCCTCACGCATGCACTTGGCAGTAGCGAGTCCGTTTGCTCTTGCGCTCTAGCTTATCCTGCCAGGACCGCCACAAAGTTTTTAGTATGTCAGCGTAATCGGCTGGGAAACGGGGCTGAGCGCGCGCTAATTCAAACTTCCATGGGGATCCCACAGCATCGGCCGAACACAAACAAGGAACTGAACCTCTCGACTGCGTAGCACTCCATGGACACGTCAATGAGGGAAAATTGGTATGTGATGACCCCCCCTCACAATACCCATTTTTTTTCCATTCTTATTTCAGACGCATGAACGTTCATTTACCGATGAAAGTAAGCATTTTTTTTATGCTGACTCTCTGTGATAGGAAGTCTAAGGTTTCCCAATCTTCTGCTATTTATTTAACTTTCTATGAATGAAAACCAAATTTATGAAGAATTACCTCCATGTAAATTTCACTGTGAGCAGTATACAGTACCTTAAATCATTGTTAGTTTGGGCTTCGAAACATCCGCAATTAGGAAAAGAGTTAAATCAACTGCACATTACGTGAGTGAATAACAAATTGAATAATCAATTATAAAGAAAAAAAATGCTGACAAACTTGCCGAAGAGCACGGGCAGAGTCAGACCAGGCTCCTTTGGCCTTGCTGGATTTTAACAACATATGGCAGGACGCGTTCATACTTCGCGACTCAAGCGTTTCAGTCGTTAAGAGGTGACCGCTCTGGCACAGCACCAGCGCTAATCGCTGGGCCTGCGACGGAGTAGCGCAGTGTGTCATCGCGCGATTAAATTGTTTGAGTCGCAGTCATGAACAGCAGGCACTCAGGGATCTCAGCGAGTGGGGTGGTTTTGAGTCGGGTAAAGGGAAGTAGAAGAGGGTTGTTCTCGATTACGAGAAGCGCTGTTATTTCCCTTGATTTTTCTTTTTTCGAAACGCACTATACCCCCCCCCACCACGCCCTCTTCATTATCCGCTTCGACGCGCATTGTCGCGAAATTCCAGAAGTTTGGGGAGTCAGTAAGGTGGCAGATAGATGGGAAGGGCATCGTATCAGCGGAGGACATGTTGTGGTGGGGGGGGGGAGTATCTTGCAAAATCATTCCCAAACGACTAGACGTGCTTCGGTTAGGACATACCACGACGCCATATGTCCTCCAATGACACGTCAGGGATAAGAAAATCACGTCTCCTGACGTGCACTCTTTCCATGCCCTCATTTATTTGTGTAAGTGAAATTTGTAAGGGTAGGAGCTTCGATAGAATGTGGTCTTTTGAGCAGATTGAGGCTTCCCCCCCCTTCAAAGTCAAACAGAGCCGTAGCATTCTTAGAACACGGAACGTACGGCTAAAGCGAGATGAGCCGCTAACCCGATATCGTTAGGGGATAGCAAAGATAACATGGCGCCATCTACCCTTTACGTCCCACTGGTCGAAAGTCAGGCCAGGTTCTGGTGGGATTCCTCTTCGAGGTAGATTTGGTCAATACCGTCGCATGGCTGCCAAGGGACAAGAATTTTTGTGCACCGAATATGCGAATCAGAAAGCCAAGGGAAAGGGCGTAGGGTTCTGGGTGGCTTAGCGGGCTAGTACAGGCCTGTGGACACAAATTTGGGACCTGCAGGACGTTTCCTTTGGAACTCGACATCCTTGCGGTAACATAACGACATTCACCGTGAATCATATGAGCACACCTTATGTACCGTATCGACAACCCCAGTGTGAAGTGGTTTTTGGCGCGGCGCCAGCTCGTCCTCCAACAGCCGTTGAAAGGTGAGGCGAGTAGTGATTAATGAAAAATGACCACACACCTCTTCACAACTTACGTCACATAGACAAAAGCATAAGTGGGAGGTGGTGCAATGGAAAATAACCCGCTTACCAAGCCTGAGGGTTCAGGGGTCAAATCCCGCCTCGGCTCCTGCTCTAACCTTCTACGAACCAGGGCTTCTACCCTCCGGAGACGGTAATCTGGTACCAGATTCGTCTGGGACTGAGAGCACCGACTTGCACACTGGCTGGCATACTAAGTCGTCACATAGGCCATATCGCATTTGAAAAGCCACTTGAGTAGAAATAGAATGCGTGTCACATTTCAAAAGGAGCGCTGTCCGGCCTAGGAGGGGCATTCTGGGCTCGCTAAATTGTTCTGCTAATTCATACTCGGTTACACGCCTCACCTTGATAAGTCCTGTACACCTTTGTTTCGCCTACCTTTACAAGAGTTTATAGTTCTCACAAGGAGGGCACGTCAGTAGTTTGGCCTGGTGGAGGCATATTGCTTATCCTCAACAAAATGCCCTACCAGGGCAAACTGCAGCGATGCGCTGCTCAACGACCAAAGCTTCTTAAGGTCTTATATGCTCACAAGTTCTGTAAAAAACTTACTCAGCTGGATGACAGCACATCCCTTGATTACCAGTAGCGTCTTGCCTCGTGATAATGCCGGTCTTTGCAACCTTAGTATGTCCCGATCGAGTGACCTGTAATTTGTTGACCATTACAGTAGCCTAGAATTTCCTGGCAGGACCTTTCCCGGAATTGAAACTCACATGTGTATGATTCACGGAACAATCGCCTCTGCACATATAGGCATTGTACTTGTGAGGTGCTATGATGAATTTCCAGCCGATTTGTTGAAAATCAACCTGAAAAAAGGTGGACGATAAAAGGAACTTTGGTTGATTCCCGAAAAGATTTCAAGAGAAGGAATTTTGACGTACGATAAGATCGTAGAGGCAGCAGCCGGGTTCCTGATCCTCAGGCATACAGACGGATGGACTCCGTTTTCCTCGAGACTTTGCTACTGGAGACAGTACTACGGACATGAACATCGTCTGTAAGTGCGTATTCGTAATCTTAGTTTGGTCAAAGATATTAATTATTACAAATAAAAACACTTTGAAATGAAAAAAATGAAGGTAATTTGTATTGAAAGCTTAAATCTTTATGCAATGGTTAACCGTATGAAACTGCCGACAGAATGAGCAGGCGTAGCAGGTACGCTGCCTGCTTCGTGCGTTTCACGTCAGAGAGACTGATCTTGGCGCAACGCCAGCCCTTCTCCACCAATTGTCGCCGATTGCTCGTTTCAACAATTGGTGAAGACCGAGCAGACTCCGAGCCAAACCGCCCTTGATAATCCACCTTGCCAATAAAATTACTATACCCATTGAATTTTCTCGTTTCAGAATCAAACTTTCAGGGATAATGCACACGGGAAAACAATGTGGTGTCTAAAAGGTCCCCAGTTTACTAATACTACAGTCTCACAAAATTGATTCTGGCATTCATGTTGTACACATAATTCTTTAAGATCTTTCAACGTTGTGGTGTCGTGTTGACCATTCTATGGATTTAGAAAATTTGAAGTCAAGTTCATTAAAATGCCTTGTAGCAAACAATTTTTAATTATCGGGCAAAAAAAGATGATGCTTAGTCCAAACATCTATCTAGCAGCTAACCAAGTCTGACCAAACCAATTTGTTTTGGAAGTACAGTAAGAGAGAAAAGAACCATGAATAGTTGGATGTGCTAGCTATTCCCAGGATGCGCCACGCACGTCATTTCGATAAGGAGCCGTCTACCGTTTGGATGTGATTTGGCCGATACTACGATTTGTGAGAGCAATATAAGTTAAAGTTTTTCTGCACAGATGAGTTTAAATGATCTAACCAGGGACACGCGTACTTTGGGAGATCCCAGTGACAGGAGAGGGCGAGCGATTTCCAACCAAAGAGGTATGAACAATACATTCACATCTAATGATTGATCTAATGAGGTGCCACATATTGTAAAATATTGACATGGCAAATAAATAAAATAAAATAAAACAAATGAGGGAACAATAAGTTCACAAAATACCGGGGCAGGGTTTCCCGGAAGTTTTGTAAAGTCTCGGTGCCTCATCTTTTAGCACCTCTGGGAGTATTCTACACTAGTAGGGATTAGAGGCGCTGGGTAATCTTTTGCGGACCCAAAGGACCTTCATTGTGCTACTCTTCCTGGGATGATAAAATCTGTATTGGCTCGCCTACACCGGAAGTTCTTCCCGTGTAGGTCTAGGCAAGAGCTCCCATATTCGTAATGGTAACTCGAGATTGAGTTTTCAGTACCCAGTTTGAACGCCGAATTCAACATAATCAATTACGCTTAAAGGAGGCACCATATCGAATCTACAACTTAGATAAAGTCCATAATAATAAGAAAATAAGGCGCTATTCGCCTAAGGAGGAAACTCGAAGACGGGGAAGCAGTTGTAGTTTCGCTTGCCTGCTTTCACTTGTTTCTACCGCACTTACACGCTCTTCTTACGATGGCCCTGTAAGCTCTTGTGAAGTGTGAACGATGCTCCTGCTACTGCATAGCTTTACATGAGTTAACAGCTCTCCACTGGACGCACCAGGACATGGGAACTAGTAAAATATGGGAACCAGGAAATGGGAACCATCAAAATGCCCCCACCAAACCGACTGATTATTTTTTATTTCACGGATTTCCAAGATAGGAGCAGACAGATCAGCAAGTGATATAAAATGCCTCTGGACTTCCTTCAAAGCCTGATTTCAGCCATTCCTGACATTCTAAAAGAGTCTGTTCTGAGTAACAAGAGAGTAAGAATTGTTTCTATGAAATATACAGACTACCTGAACCTAAACTTGAGGTCAAATAATCCACAGAAATGGTTGACTCACATGTCGCGAATGACGATCTTGTTGTGGATGTACGGCGATGTTCTCACCGTTCAACATAGCTACCACATAGAGTCCAAGGATTGGCTCAGATCTCCACCACCTAAAGAAACAGATCGTATGTAGTCAAAACGAGTTGAAGTAGCACTTCATCGTAGGGGTCAAGTATGACATCACTCGGGAAACGGATTTTGTTGAACACCAGTACTGTATACGGACAAAAAAGATTATAGCTGGACTACTGGCTGCACCAGTTGTACTTAAAGGCATATGGCACGATAATTTGGTACTCGGCCTAAAATGCCTAAAATGCTAGCAGGGTAATATATAGTGAGAAAATGGCGGAAAAACCAAGTGAAACGGTCAAAAACCTGCAAAGAAAAGCCTTCGTTCTAATGACTCAAAAAGCAATTTTGGACGAGTTTCCCGTAGGCATCTTGCCAATAACCGCTACGGTAGGTACGGCTGCACGTGTGTACCCATATATCCATGCAGCACCGCGGCCGCTTCATACCAATCCCTTCGCTTCATATTTTGCTTAGCAAATGAAGCAATACGAGCATCAGGTACGGTCGTCCATTTGTGGGCGGGCGGGCGCGGGCGTCCGGGTCGGTATGTTGTAGCTTGATAGGGCCTTATAAGGGTACCTTCCTTGGAAAGGCGCTACACAGCACCCACTCAATGGCACGGAATTCCGTCCTGCCAACCGCATTAATCATACTTGTCACAGGAATTTATCGTGCCAACTGCTTTTAAGCAAATTCCCAGTTTCTTTTCCCAACAAGCGTTGAAAAACACCATCTTGCCGGCACGAGGACATAGATAGGTGCGAAGCTTGTCTATTGAGCTTTTCCTGTGGCCAATTCAGGCCATCGTTTGCGCACAATCAGTTCATAACACTTGAAATGCTCTATCACTTGAGCACAATCCCCCCCCCACGCCCTACGAGATAAACTAGGGCCTTCTTTTCCACCACGGCTACCTTTCAAGGGAGGAACGGCTATTCTTTTAGGGAAGATTATGCTTTTGCTCGGCTCCAAGAGGATAGCGATTATTCTATTTTACGCGGATTTCTCATATTTCTCATTTGTTCTTTCAACTAACTCAATGGTTCTTCATTTTAAATTATTTCCCTTAAAGTCTCCAGAAGGTTTTCAGTGCCTTCTTGGAAACCGCCATAAGCATCTCAGTTGCTGACTGCCCCTTGGTCTAATCCAGTAGCACTTTGACTAACGCATCTGAAGCTTTCAACCCGATTTTAACGTCACCACAGAAGGCACATGTGGATTTCCACGCTCGACGGAGAACAATAAAAAATGTGAAGGTATACGTGGAGAGTCAATCTCCCTGAATAATAGGGGAAAAATAATGTAAAAATAACAAGAAAGGAGTTCTTCGAAGAATTGATTTTTCAGGCTCATAAAAGAAGGTATCCAAAAAAAGACACCCCGCTCCTCGGGACCCTAATATTATTGAGCCAGATTTAGGCTAAATGACCCCATTTGCTCATCTCAATGGGACTACCCCACCCTCGGGAAAGCGCAAAATTGCTAGAGAACCGATGAGGGTGGAATAAAATCAAATTATCGCTCTTCAAATTCTGTCCAATAGCGTGAAAAAGCCAACAAATTATTGGATTAGTCCACCCACATGAACCAAACATGTGCTAATGGTTGGGCAAGAGATTTTTTTCATTTTTTTCCGAGTGAATTTAGAATCGATGATCATAGCCCATACGAACCGCACATCCATTTATCGCCCTAATATGTCCTTTTTATATCCTTATATGGCATATTCTATTCAGGCCAGAGTCCTGATGACGGGACCTGGATGTAGGTGGGAAATTGTGTCACATTCCATTTCGAAAATGGCCCCCTAAATGTCATTCATCACATCAGAAAGCGTGGGAGCCCATGTTGCATGGACTATTTGCAATGCAGGCGAAGGCACCGAAAACAAAGACACTCAGAGAATGACCACTTTGAATTCTCGCACTAATCTTTTCAAATCTTTTTGAAATATTCGTTTTTTTTTCAGATGAAGAGTTAAGGGAGAAAAATCTGCCATTAATCAGCTCCATTAGGGATGCGGCCTGCACTCTATTTCCATACATCACAATGGCTTATTGCATGCAAGGTGGCTAGACGAATCTGATACCAATTTAGTGTCCCCGGAGGATAGAAGCCAGATCTCCGCTCTTTTTCTACTTAGTCACTAGGTAATAAAATAAATTGCAGCGAAGTTGGAGATGTGAAGAGGCTCCCAGAGGAGGGAATATCATCCCGATTGGGAAGAATCTAAAGTAAGGCCCCAGTATCCGGTACTACCGAAGAGGAGCGAGGGTAGAGCCCGATCAGGGTGCTGCATCACGATGGGCGAGACGGAGGTGTCAGTACACCGCCTCCTATGCCTCCTTTCCGGTATGACCTGTCCCCCAGCCCTGCTTCGCAACCTCGCCATAAACTTGGCAAAATTTCAAAATGGTGCCGGCTAGCGAGGTGGGTCAGTTTCCTGGGGGAAACTGAAAAAGTAAAGAAATTTTCAGGACAGGACAAATTCCGGAGAATTTAGAACATGGGGATATCCAGGAAGTCGGTAGGTAGGATGGGGAAGGGAAAGAGGACGTGCCAGAGTAGGAATTTGTGAGGAGGGGGAGGGTATGCATTACAAAATTTTTCCAACGGTAGGACGTGCCTTACTTACCCATCTACCAAATACGGCCCTGGCTGATGAGTTTCAAGGAGGTTTTGCCCTGCATCCGATTATAGTTGTATCACTGGTCAGAGGGTATAGGGATAGGGGTCACCAGACGCTTGGACTGGCAACAACGAAGAACCAATTTGAGGACCAAATACCTCCTCTCCCCCTCCATTTCCAGCGGTATTCCCATGATGATGTTATTTTCGCTACCAGCGATTCTATTCAGTAGCGCCATGGACATCATCATTCCACAACTTCTGGACTTCATCACGCCTCGGAGGGTCCAAGTAAACAGAGCCGTATACAAACCACGGCTATATTTGCCGAATCCTTTGAGGCGTGGATTCAATGCTACTATTCATATGACTCCTTATGAATAAGCAACTCGGCGATGACGCAAAACTCAACCCTGTATGGGACCACTGGAATTTCTGAAGGTTTCTGTCTCTGTTCATGGAATATCGCGCAACTTCAGCGCTATGGAACAAACTTAGAACTCCAACAGCGATGAGCTGCTTTCCTGTCGATTCACGTGATGGCTCGGCTCACTGAATAATCTTCGGAGGGCAAAAAGCTCACGAAGGACTACTAATGCGGGAAGTGAAAAGCAGATCAAGTTTTTAGAAACGTCTCAACATGGACCTCGTTCTCCGAAAGTCTCATTCACTGAATTACGTGGCCAGTTACGAACAGGGCACTTCGCACGTTGGGTATCCCCCTTGGGGGCGTCGTATTTGGTCACTGGTTTTTCAAAATGTTAAGAAATTGGGGAAATTCAGGAAAAGTAAGATGTAGGCGGCATGGGCGATGAAGAAGGTGGTTCTACAAGAGGAAAAGAGTTAAGGGAGTTGTATCAGAGAAAGAACTTCTTGGGCAGGGAGGGGTCGTATTTCGCAAAAATTTTCCCAACGGCAGGACGTGCCCTGGTTGCAAAGACCCATGACGCACTCTGGGCAGGCTGGGCTCACGGGGAGGGCGGTCTGTCTCAGCAGGCGAAGCAAAAGGTTGAGAATATCTGATAAGGAGGACATGGGTCATTGGGAGCTACCTCCTAGAATTAACGCCCATTGCCCTTTCAAGGAAATCTTGGCCAGTTACCTGGTGTCTAACCTGTCAGAGAATGGTATTCTGCTCGTGGGCACGCTAAATGCCCAGCACAGAAAATAAGACCCATTGTGTTGGAAGGCAATAGCACACATAGCCATTGAGCTGAAAGGGTAAGAGCGCCTCGGTAGCGTAGTGGATAATGCAACCGCCCAAGGCGGGAGATGCGAGTTCGAGTCCCGTCCGCGTGCCCGTAACTCAGCACTCTTGTGATAACTGCCATTGTCTCTTATGGTAGACAGAGATAAGATTACAAGTGTTCTCAGACGGTAAGATTCCTTTAAAGGCACAACAAAAATGAGGAACGCAGCCACGCCTTCTCCAATTTCAGGATATGGAGTATACAGAGGGTATCACTAAGCACACTACTATCCAGTTACACCATCGAATTGTCACAGGTGGAGAAATAGATCTACCCTTCCCTTTCCCGTAATCTAAGCTATAATTCCAGGTTTGTCACAGGTGTTGACTGTTAATCCCATAAAAGTAATGAAGGGTGTTAAACCTTAAAGTAGAACGCTGGAAAAAGGGACAACTATAAAATGCATTATGCAATCGTCATTTGCAGAAGTGCATAGGTTAAATATAGTCACGGCCATTAATCCCAGATTTGATCTGCACTTCTTTCTCTTTTCCCAATTCGACAACAACCCTGACTGGGTGTGTTTTGCAAATCAACCAGATCGCCCTTCGCGGTAATAAGGGGGAGGGCTATTTATAGGTAATTGACTTTATACGACATAACCAATTAGAAAACCTTTCGAGTCAACATTTTATCTTTCCCCAGAGATCATTTACTTGGAGGAAAAACCCATAGTGGCACAAGTTTGTAAAGTGAATAGCCTTCGCGATATAATCGTAATAATTAGCCGCTATTCAGTAGATTGTTTTTGACGTGAATCGTTTCAGATCATATCTGACCTGATTGAAGGTGGTGGTGCCGGCAAACTGGACGTACGACGCCAAATCTGACCCTTATCTTCAGCGATGAGTATTGAAGGACGCCTACCAAATTTATGCCCGATTACCGCTACACGTCACTTGAAATCATTCATCTTCTGCAAGTTATAAACGAGCAATGACGACTACTGTCACTATGAGCGACTAATCAATACCATATGTCTGAGCACGGTGATTACCCACACAGGGTACAGCATCGTTGGTGGAATCCCATCCTGGGTCTTACCTTGGAATTTGCAGCGATGGTCGTAGATGGAAACAGAGGGCGGGGGTTCGTATCCAGGGTACAGCATCGC